GTGCCAGCTATCATAGCTGGCACAAAATATCTACTAAAAGTAGATGAACAGTGGTCGGCCATCCAAAATTGCCATTTTGGCAAAATAAATGGCCGACTGGCAACAAAGAGTGCCGACCGGCAGTATACATTGCCGATGGCATAAAATCACTGGCCGGTGGCCTCAAGCCATGGCCGGTGATGTGTGGGGATGCCTCACAAGGCATTTCCTGCCCCTCCAAGGCAAACCACAAGTGTTTGGTGCAAAACCAGACACAACACGGTCGAGTCGAGAGATCCTGAGGCAAGGCGCGCAATTGAGACCTCCGGGAACTCAAGACGAACACAAACAAGGGTAATCACCAAGTGTCCAATGGTGACGTCCAAGTCTTGAGGACGGTAAAAAATGGGGTGTCTACACTTGCCATGACAATTTGCATAATATGAATTTTCACAGGTATGTGATCATTTAAACTAAGACATAATGAGAGTCACACAATGGTAAACACCAAGGCTACATTGTTTACAATTCACATAAATATAAATATGAAATAAATTACCAATATTGGAGATAGTTGTAGACACCGCATTTTTGACCGTCCTCAAGACTTGAATGTCATCGCTTCTGCACTCGATGGATATGATTGCATGTGCTCATTTTGGTGCCCAAAGTCCTCGGCAGAATGCCCTGTCTTTGACCCTTAAAACCCTGTCCATTCTATGCCTTGTTTTGGACCAAAACCTTAGTGCTTCAAACCGCAAGACCCTGAGACCTGTAGGCCTACTCTGGTGGACTGTCAGCCTCCAATTGTGCCCTGTCATCCACTCTTGTGCCTTGCCGATGAATGGTGTGGCTTGCCGGCCATCATTGGTGGCCTATCGGCCACATTAGTAACCTGTCGGCCATCAGTGTCTTTTTTGCGGATATTTTGTTGACAGCTATTCCAACTGTTGGCACAATTGGTTTCATCTCTCTACACGTGTATGAAGGGATTTATCTCAGCCAAATGCATGTTTTTCTATATATAGGGGGTATCCTCCCCCATTTTTGAGGGTTAGAATTTTTGGAGCAAAAATTATCTCTCTCTCTCTCAACATTTCTCTCTCTTTCTCTCTCTCTCTCTCTTGCAAATTTGTGCACATTAACCTACATACACTACACTCTTGCCTACACCTCCTTAATCAAAGTTGATCCCCTTTGGATTGAGGTTCCTTGAAGCCTTCTTGGAGCTCTTGAAGTTGGTTTTGGCTTGAATTCTTACCTATAATTGATCTTTGCTTCACGAGGTATCACTACAAGAAAAAGAGGATATCACCACGTTTTTTTTCCTGACATTTTTGAAAAACGTCGTGAAATCTCCTATATTTTTTCTCCTTTTGAACAAATTTAATTACTCATCTCGTTTTGTACGCCAATATTAAAAAAATTGTGAAATAACATTTAGAGGCAGGACTTCTCTGATCAAAAGAGAGGCGTGACTTCAGAGAACACAGCGTTACTTTTGAGAGAGAGAGAGAGAGAGAGGCAGAGAGAGAAATCAAGGCCTTGGATCTTCGATCTCCATTGATTCTTTGGTTGTATGATCTGGAAATGCTTGTTCTACACTTGATTTGAGCGTTTGTCTGTAATATCGTTTGAATCCCTCTTATCTAAGTCGATCTAGGGCTCAAGGTTAGAGTTTTTTTATATGGATTTGCTATATTCACACAAGATCTGTAGACTTTCATGGCTTAAACTAACGATTTATAGTTGATTTCTAATTTCTTTTCTTCTATTTTGTATTTCTTCTTTTCAAATCGATTTTTCTAGGGTTTTGAGTGCCATGTTAATGTCTCTGATCACGTACAGAATAGCAAGTAGCGTTGGATCTGGACCGTTATCAACAGTGAGTCGAAGCAAGCTCAACGACGTAGAGATGTAGATCTTATTCTCAGATCTGCTCTCTCTGTCTCTCCGATCTGATATTATGGTAATATCAAATCTACTTTCTCAATCTTTCCGATCGAATTTCACATATTCTCTTCATTGCTCTATGAGATTTGGACCTTTGTCTCTCTGTTTTTGATTGAAGCTCATTATCTTTGTCACTTTATTACATTTTCCTTATAGAAAATGTCAAAACAGTATAGAAATAGAACGATTGGTGAGTGAGTTTGAAACTTCTTTATCCATTTGAACACTCTAGTATTTCATCACCTTTCAATTTTTACTTTAACTTGTTATGTTTGAATAATTTTCAATTAATTTTTAAAACGTAAAGATATAGAACGATTACATTGAATTTATATTAAAATTTAAAATTTTAAGTGTTATAATTAAAAGTTAAAGGATCAAAATTTGACGGTGAAATTTGTAATTTACTCAGGAAAAAAAGAAATTGGACCAAAGTATAAAAATGAAAAAAAAATAAAAAAAGAGGTTTGCATTACATGTTTTTTTTTATTATTTTTATTTTTTATGATTGTGTGATTCTGATTCATCACACTTAAAAGGACTTGCAATTTCATTGGTTTTTATGTAAAATACTTGGTCATGACCATGGGTTGTACATTCTTATTCATTTCGCTTTGCACGTGTTTGGGTTTTGGTCTAACTGAAGCAGTTCCTACAAATATTAGAAGACAAAGTACTATTGAATATTGATTGCTATTGTAATTTGTATTTTAATACCTTGTACCTTGTTTTATTTCATTATTTTAACACATTTTCTGTTTTTGGTACCACTTAACCTTGCAAGTGAGGTCTTCAAACTATGAAAATTCAGTTTGTGGCAGCTCACTCAACAAGGACACGTGACCTTGTAATTGCATGACATTTTTTAGAAAAAAAACTTGATCTGGGTATGGAAGGATTGGATTTAGAAGGAGGAGTTATTGTCCGTTTTATATGTGCATATGCATAAATCAAAGAACAGATTTAGGGAAATAGTCATATCAGAATTTTTTTGACAGTTTTCTTTACCTTCTATTATTATATTCAGAAAATCTTCGGATTCAACAGAGTTCTAGAAGGGAGTTGTTGTGTTCTTGCTGCTATAGATTCTGCTCTTGCATGTTTCCGTTACATAACTTTGAAATGTTGGTTATAGATAATTTCTAAGCAAGAACATGATTTGGGTACAATAGGATTGGATGTGAAAGAAGAAATTCTCATTCTTTTTCATTCCTCGATAGCTTTGATAAGTACATATGCATAATTCAAGGGAGAGAAATAAGGAAATAGTTATATCAAAAGGTTATGTGGGGAGCAAGCAGTCCTCTAGTTTTGAGGATACTAATTCTGCTAAAGAGAAAGCTAAATCTATCTATCCACCTATAGAAAGCCATTGGAATTTACCTCCTCAAAAGGAGTACCAGAAATTGTCTTCATTAAACTTAAATTGCAAGTCCATGTTGTCTTACCCACTCAAGATTCGGGATTCACTAAAGAGAATTAGAAAGAGCCAAAGCTTGCTAGCAGTTCCCAAAGAAGCTCGTGATCCAAAAGATGATCAAACCATGAATTGCTTTTGCTCGAGGGCCATCTGCCAGGGAAACACAGTGTGATTACCACACACTTTTACGGTATGTTTCTGCTGTGACATTTTTACATACATAAATAATTAGCCTCCTTTTGGGATGAAGTAGTTTCAATGAAGTTTGTTAAGCTCTTTATGTAGCATTGTTTGAGTACTGTGTGGTGAAGTGTGAATCGGGCAAAGATGATGTTCTGTTTGGAGTAATTTTACTATTACATATATTTACAGTGGTTTTCTTCCATGATGTCTCTTATTGGATTAAATTCTTGCCTCATTCAAATACTACAGTGCAAATTACCTCTTTCTCCATTCTCATTGTTTCTTGGTTCTTAATTAGAGTGTAACTGTGACTTGGTACAATGGCATTGTGGAAAGTACTGTCCACCTCCAGTCTTGCGGTGCAAGTTAGCCTAACATGGCTGCAGGTATTGCAAGGACTCTTTTTATATGTATTATATCTTTCTCATTTTGTTTGTAGAATTGAATTAGATTATGGAAGTCTAAACTATCAATTTTGATAAAGTGAAGTCTGGAACTGAAAATAAATGGGGCAACAAAACGAAGCACTAAACTAGCAAGTTTTCCTGTTAGAAACATATTTTTCTTTAGCATGTCAATATATCTGATTTGTGATGGAGACATTGCAGTGAAGTTGAAATCAAGGCTCAATGATGCCCTTTTTTTTTTGGTGGCTTGATTATCTGCTGTAGGTTGTATTCCTACTCATTTGCTAACAACCTACCTTGTGCAAAAAAAAGTTTGTATTCCTTTTCTGTCTCCCTTTTGTCTTCTAAATTAGTAGTTTATTTGAAAATCATTTTATGCATTTGATGGCAATCCTTTTTCATTAAATAGCTTTATTTTAGGAATGTGTTAAGTTAATTAGGAAGTTTAAACTCATGCTGTTAGTATCAATTCTTTTACATGTTCATAATCTAATCACAAAATTGGAAACAACTCTCTTATATATGGTGAGACCCACCTCATGTGAGAGAATTGACAACTTTCTTCATCTCTAATAGTAGTACAACCTTAAACTTTTGAAAAACATTTGTCATAGATAGCATTAGTTGTAATTAAGGTTGACAAGAAAACAATAAAATTGTTAATCACATATACCACATGCATAGATTTATATGTTTACTACTATAATATGTGAGGGAGTTACATATTGCTACAGTAATTTATAGCTATCTTTTTTTATTCCCATTTTCCCCTCATATTTTGTTCAGACTACTTTACTATGTTTGGAGTATTTTATAATTTGATGGCCCAACTCTGTGTTAGATTGCCATGTCAAGGTCAGCTCCTCTCATTATTGTTCACATGGCCACTCCCTTTGTTTCAAGGAGAAAGAGCACGTCTCCATCATTTTACACTCTCTGCGGTTCAGTCTGTGTGGAAAATCTCGAACATGTGGATCACAATGGGTTCACGATCTCGACCGAAGATGGGGTAACAAGGAAGATCTCCACCGAAGATGGGTTTATAAGTGTTCCATGATTAAAGTCGTTGATGCATTATTGATGTCATTTTTTTTTATTGAGCTAATATATTGGTTATGTTTCACAGATGATTTGATTGTTGATCCGCGCAACTTGGAATGGATGAGGGAAGCTAATTGTCCCATTGTGAGTAAATTATTTATGCAGTTTATTTTATGATATATTTCTGTTTAAGGAATAGTTCTTTGTATGGTTGCACCCTGCCTGCGGTCACATTACTATTTCTGAAGGATCTGATAATTTGGTTCTGACTACAGGTGGCTGATATCACCCATTCTTTGCAACAGCCTGCTGGAAGACAGGTGTGGATCATTTCTGAAATATATTAAAGAGCTTATACTGGGAGAGCTTATAAGAGATTGTGCTGTAAGCTCTTTAATCTCATTATACTGGGAGAGCTCATATGTTTCTCCCAGTATGAAACATATTTAATAAGCTCTTTAATCTCATTCCCACTTAATAAGAGATTGTGCCACTTTCATTTCAGATTTGGCTGATGCTGTGATTGAAAGTCTTCCATACGTTGGAGCGATGGCAGTCTCAAATCTTGAAGCTCGACAGGTCCAACTTTGGACATTTATATTTAAAACATGGAACTAATAATACATTTTTTTTGCAGTTATTTTATTCCTTGGTGCCTGCACAAAGCCTCCTCGGCTGTCCATGGTGACTGAATACGTGGAAATGGGATCATTGTATCATTTAATCCATGTGAGTGGACTGAAAAAGAGACTCAGCTGGAGAAGGAGAGTGAAAATGATATGTGATATATGCAGGTGCATTTGACCATCAACTTTTCCATTGCACTACCTCATTGACATTGCACATTTATGTTGGTACTACTGCTAAATAAGTAACTTATGGTTGCTTTTGGAGCTCAGTATATTTTCTTATGTTGGTATATTTGCTTTTGCATTAATGAATGAGCATTCCTTCACTACAGGAAATATCTGTTTTGTGGAAAATGATTACTCTTTTTTTATATTTACCATAGGCCTATATTATTCAATTAAATGTTGAAGGTGTATTTCCTCGTTAAGTATTTTGTAATTTTTCAGCCGAGTTTAAAATGAAAAGGTTATTATTCCTTTTGTCATTTGCAATGACTACTTGTTCAAGCTTTTGCTGATTGGAGATTCTGGAGTTGGAAAATCATGTCTTCTTCTGAGATTTGCTGTAAGTGCTTTGGAATGTTTTTCACTCTCTCCTATATTTCTTCTTTTTAATGAAAATCTAGTTGTAGTGATAGACAAATTTGTAGTTTATCTGATTTTCCCTTTTGTAGTTTATCTGTGTTGCATCTATAATATATATAAATGTTGACATATATTTGTATCTGTTTGTCTTTACATACATATACACTATAGGAAAAACGAGTTATAACGGCGTTCATACAACGACGTTTTAAAAAACGTTTTACTCCACATAACAGATCCCTCCGTGTTTCAGTGGTTCACTTAAAAAAAAAAAACAAACAAACAAACAAACAAATGGCGATTGACGATTGTTGCCCATAAAGTACATCTCTGGAGTACTCCTATGGAAAAAAATAGAGGGATCTTAAGTGAGATGCTCATCTTCTCCAGCTAGTGTCAAATGATTGCTTTATTTCCAAGTGATGACCATGTGGATGAACATGGTTAGTAGGGACATGAAACGATTTTCTAATTTAGATTGTCTCCAAAAGTTGTTCTGCTTTTTTGTGAAGTGCTTTGTTAAAGTTGTGATGATAAGCTATTCCATTTACCATCAAATGATAACATAGAACTGAAAATTTTGTTTTACTACTTGCTATAGAACGAAATCATTGCATGAGCAATTAACCTGAGTTGGTCCACGCATGGTTTTCTATGAGAATTACACACTTTGGTAGGCAATTTCTCATACTACTTCCTTCTCTTAATAGAAAAAGAGAGACCACACATTTGTGCAATTCCCCATTCTATTTTGTATCTGGTTTGCATGTATCCATTTACCTTTGTTTCTTGCTTGGTGTTTGTATTTATGAGTAGATCATTTGATCAGCCATCTGCCAAAAAAGTCCCGTTTAGCCCTTGCCAAATATAGCCTTAGTGTGCTTATTTGGTAGAGTTTTTTTCCAGCTTATTTCAGCTTTTAGCTTAATTTAAGCTATTTCATTGTGTTTGATATAGCTTAATAATACAAATTATAACTTTTTATAAATCAAAAATCAACTTTTTCTTGAAATGGCCATGGGGGTGCTTAAGAGATTCAGCTTAAACGACAAGCTGGGAAGGAAGGGACAAAATTACTTAAATGCCCCTCATCAACTTCAACTATTACCAAAAACCCAATATATAAAAAGCTCTATCAAACTCTGTTCACTTCTTCAAAGAGACAAAACTTGAGAGGTGATTTCTGGCGCGATTTCCAACGGCGATTTCTGGTGGCGTGAACCAGGACTAGCTCTCTCTCTCTCTCTTACGATCTCTTCTTTCACTCATTCACAAATCAATCATGACTCTACTCTCATCAAAAACCCTAATTTCCCAAACCCAATTCAATTATCCTTCAACAGATACACCCATTCTAATCACCCAATCAGTGACCAAGAAGAAGAATCAAAGGATGATGGAACCATGAATGAGTTCTTGTCCCAATTCGTGTGGCTAATGCGTGGTAAACTCTCTGAAGTCTACACAAACTGTGACAAGAAGACAATTGATGGAATGCTTTTAATCATTGTTGGGAAGGTTGTATCATAAATGGAAAAGGGTGGTAGTAAACTCAGTATTTTGTGCATTATTTCACAATAATGAAAGGTAGTTTTCAATTGATGATTCTGACTATTTTGTGTTTCACTCTCCATACAACAAGGTAGTTTATCTAATACTGTTAATATGTGCAATTAATTTCTCTTTCTGGTTTACCATTCGAAGCTTTCAGAGCACTTGAAAGAATAACAGAGGTTTAAACTTTTTAGTTTAATCACTACAGCTTGTTCAAAAGAGCTTTGCCTGGTTGTGGTTCAATGACTTCTTGAGGAATGTCGTGATTCGATGACTTCTTGAGGAATGTCGTGATCTAGAGGTCTGTTTTGGCTCCTAGTCCTAACATGCATTTCCAATCTCTCTCTTACATTCTTTCTTTTACCTTACCTAGACTGTAACCTGCAATACACAGATTGCTTTCACCATGTCTCTCTTACACTTCACCTACCTCTACTCCACTACACACTCCACTTCACCTACCTCTACTCCACTACACACTCCACTTCACCTACCTCTACTCCACTACACACTCCACTTCACCTACCTCTACTCCACTACACACTCCACTTCACCTACCTCTACTCCACTACACACTCCACTTCACCTACCTCTACTCCACTACACACTCCACTTCACCTACCTCTACTCCACTACACACTCCACTTCACCTACCTCTACTCCACTACACACTCCACTTCACCTACCTCTACTCCACTACACACTCCACTTCACCTACCTCTACTCCACTACACACTCCACTTCACCTACCTCTACTCCACTACACACTCCACTTCACCTACCTCTACTCCACTACACACTCCACTTCACCTACCTCTACTCCACTACACACTCCACTTCACCTACCTCTACTCCACTACACACTCCACTTCACCTACCTCTACTCCACTACACACTCCACTTCACCTACCTCTACTCCACTACACACTCCACTTCACCTACCTCTACTCCACTACACACTCCACTTCACCTACCTCTACTCCACTACACACTCCACTTCACCTACCTCTACTCCACTACACACTCCACTTCACCTACCTCTACTCCACTACACACTCCACTTCACCTACCTCTACTCCACTACACACTCCACTTCACCTACCTCTACTCCACTACACACTCCACTTCACCTACCTCTACTCCACTACACACTCCACTTCACCTACCTCTACTCCACTACACACTCCACTTCACCTACCTCTACTCCACTACACACTCCACTTCACCTACCTCTACTCCACTACACACTCCACTTCACCTACCTCTACTCCACTACACACTCCACTTCACCTACCTCTACTCCACTACACACTCCACTTCACCTACCTCTACTCCACTACACACTCCACTTCACCTACCTCTACTCCACTACACACTCCACTTCACCTACCTCTACTCCACTACACACTCCACTTCACCTACCTCTACTCCACTACACACTCCACTTCACCTACCTCTACTCCACTACACACTCCACTTCACCTACCTCTACTCCACTACACACTCCACTTCACCTACCTCTACTCCACTACACACTCCACTTCACCTACCTCTACTCCACTACACACTCCACTTCACCTACCTCTACTCCACTACACACTCCACTTCACCTACCTCTACTCCACTACACACTCCACTTCACCTACCTCTACTCCACTACACACTCCACTTCACCTAACCCACTATCACCTCCACTACACCTACTACCACATTTTCTTCTGTATATAGATTGTATAGGAATTGTAATTAATGAATCTTGTAATCTATCAATCAAGACATCAATCAATAATACATAAATTCTTACATGGTATTTCATGGAGGAAGAGTTAAGCTACACTCTATACTGGCGACCCTTTCTGAATTTGAACATGCTGAGAAGGGTGATGCTTTGTATGGTAAGTAGCCTCTTTTACATGCTTTGCAGAGTATATTTGTGCATTGTTCATGTTAAGAATTGTAGAACACCTAAACACCTAATCAAGATAGGTGAGATATGAAAAAATAGAGAAGAATAATAAAACATGAGTATAAATCACACCCACTCACAAAAACATAAGATTAATGTGATTCACCTCAAAATTAAGACTATGTCCAGAGTCTGCATATACACAGTATCAGAACTACATGTCACAGATGTAGAAATACCAAAACATCCTTACTCCAGAATTCGGGTAAGGGCTAAGGCCCTGAGCCCCCACCTTCAGGCAAGGGGGTTCTGACCCCTTGCAGCCTCACCAACTTATTGTGAAGGTTTTGTTTTTTTTTTTTGAACAAGGAAAGTGAACTTATTGTGAAGTTTGATCCACAGTTGAGTGCTAGTGTCTAGTACTCGGGATCTACACTACCCAACAATCAACTCTCATTCTCTGTGATTTCTTGATTCAGCAATGGAACTAGCACTGTCCTTGGAGAAGTTGACAAATGAGAAACTTCTGAGCTTGCATGGTGTAAGATATCCTTTACCTTCAGTATCTTTTTTTCTTACTTTGAATTCATTCTCTAAAATGGCCAAGTATTAGCAGTATTTGACAAAACATTTGGTCCATTTAACTCATTTTACGCATTATGAGGTTGAACCGTGTCTAAAATGGAAGTTTGGGACTTGAGACTAGGACTACTCATACTTGCTCTGTTCTTGACAACAGGTGGCTGCTCAAAACAATGATCCTCAAATGACTGAGTTTATTGAGCGTGAATTTCTAGCTGAGCAGGTGATCTGAGAACCTCATTTTTACGTGTACCAGTTAATACACATGAATGTTTCTTTTTTTTCATCCCTAAACAAACAAAACTTTGGAAGAAAACACTGTGAGTAAAGAAGAAATAATTTTCTATGAGTTTTCTAATATTGTCGACTTCTTTCTTATTTTTTTCCTTCGTTAGGTGGAAGCAATTAAGAAAATTGCAGACTTTGTCACTCAGTTGAGACTGGTTGGAAAAGGACATGGTATGAATCAAGTTTCAATGTCACTCATCGCTAAGCTTGATTTGGTGACACAAACAAAATCCAAATTTGTTTTGGAGAACAGCAAGGTTCATGTATTAAATTATGATTTCTATAACTTGAGTGGATGTACATAGATACTAAGGGTAGAGCTGACCTTCAAGTGTTTTGAATTGCTTGAAGAGTTAGTGTTGCTGTTCAGAGAGAATTTCAAACTCGAGTTTGATCGCTCTTGATCTGGAGTTCAATATATTGTTTACTTTTATTTTTTGTTGTGTTTGTTGTTTGATTTTAGTTTAGAAATAATCATATAATGTTTTTAGTCAATATATTGAAATAGCAGTAAAGTTTTATCCATATTATTACTAATTTTCAGCTTTATTACAATTATGTTTTTTAGTTAAATCCAACAGAATTAGCACAATCTCAAAAAAAAAAAAAAAAAGAAGGTATTAACGGCGTTTTTCCAAAATGCCACTACAGTGTTAACGGTCATACTCTTAAATTAGGAAAAAAACTATCACGGCGTTTTTAAAACGTTGCTAAATACTAATGATGTCATTTTACCGTTATGTATCACATTTAGCGGCGTTTTTAAAAACGCCGCCTATACTAATCTAACGACGTTTTCAAAACGTCAGAATGCTATAGCGACGGCCGCATCTTCGACGTTTGATACTAAACGTCGCAAAAAGTATTAGAGGCGTTTTTCACACTTATAGCGGCGTTTTTTAAACGCCGCTAAATGTAAAATTTCCAGCAGTGTATAACACTTGCCCTTTCACCTTGTTTTGTATACTTGTTTTTTTTATCTTTTCCCACTGATTTTGGGCCGTTTTTGGGCATAAAAAAAACTGTGTTTTGGTGGGCTGGAATTGGTGGTTTTAGGCTATTTAATGTTAGGGGGTGGCTCACTCCTCTTTATTCCTTGTTTGTAAGGCGTTTCCACCTCTGTTTCCCACTTTCAAACCATCTTTTCTTGGGCTTTTGAACACTGAATTTTAGAGTATTTTCAGTGGTGAAAATTATGTTTTGAGGTCTAAATTTGGAGGGGTTAGCCGCACCTTCTTGTGCCTTGTTTGCTAGCCTAAATAGCTCTATATGTTAGCTTATTTTTCTAGCCTTTCATAGCTTAATTCCAGCATGTTTTAGGCTCTATTTTGGACTATTTTAACTCTGTTTTTGGTTGGTTGTTGCATTGAGCCTTGTTTTGCATGCTTCTAGTGTAAGTGTCCTCACAAGATTGCTGTTTTAGGCCTTTAGGCACCACTTGTTTGAGTTGATTACATGTTTTAGTCCTTTTCTCACTTAATTTCAGCACTCATTAATCTCTGCAACCTCCCTCATTTCTTGACCTTTTTATTTTCTTTGAGGGTCGTTTTAACCTTAGGATAGTTTAAGCTTGAGATTGAGGTTCATGCTTAATGGTTTAACCCTCTTTTCGGGGTTCATTATCAATGGCATGACACCTCTCTCTTGCCTTACACTACTCCTTGTTTGACACTTCCTTCTCTTTAGAGGACTTCTCATCAATGGACTTAATTGGTTAAAAAATGGAAGGGTAATTAAAATGAGTAACTAAAGGTTAAAACTAAAATTGTTCAAAGATAAGAATTTGGTTGTGTTTTGGTGTGTTCAATCAGACGTTAATTGAACACAAGGAAAATTGGGGAATTTTATACTCAAAGTGATAAAATGTGCCAATTTTTCTAAGGTCTCCATTGCCGTGATCATGCATGATAGGGTGATGGTTTTTGGTCTTGTTTGTGCATTTATTAAACTTGTACATCTTGGTTCCTTAGCCATCATGCAATGAAATTACTTGATTGATGGTTTCAGGACCAAGTGTATCACTCCTTTGAGATGTTTTGATGATAAGGAGGGATACATAGTACAAACAATCTGTGAGAATCTCTTTGCCCTGTTTGCTCTCTGTTGCAGCAAGGAATAGTGCATCGTCAGTGGTCGGCTGGCCACTGTTTCTGGCCGGCAGGCCATTAGTGGCACCAGTGAATTTTGAGCAGAATGCTTGTGAAGCAGAACAGTTTTGACCAGGAAGAGGAAAACCCGTTCAAGGGTTGTGCAACAGAGGCTTTTGGAATCAAACCGTTGACGTTCTTCAGGTGGAAACCGAGCATGCATGGGCCTCCTTCGCTTCTCGGACTAGTTAATTAGTTTAAATTAGTCATTTGTCATTTAGTTAACTAGCTTAATTAGTGACTTTGTAATTAATTAATTAACACAGTTAGCTAATTAGTTTTGCATTGCACTTATTTAATTATCTTAAAGTAGTTAATTTAATTAGTTCATCATTGTTGTAATATTTAATTAGCTTAGTTAGCTATATTATTTATTCAAGTTTTGTAATAATTAGTTAAGTAGTTTAGCTTAGCCAGTTTATTCATTCGGACCCTCCTGCGCGAGGGCATCAGTGTTGTAATAATGTGTATGTCCTCTAACCCCACACCTTTTTTCCTTTTATTTATTCGCTTTTGATGGTTAGATTAGGGGCAACATATTTCAATTAGCATATCGCATATTTGCATCCATTCATTTGTCCTACAGACACTGAGGCTTGGTTCATCATTCTAACTACATTGTCGCTTCAATACCTTGTTGAATACGTGTTTAAAACGCATGCTATGAAATTGTTGCAACTAAACATGTTAAGTAGCCGAGCCTATTTTAGTTGCATTTTGCATGCGTTGCATTAGCCATCTTGTATAGTTAGAGATCATGCATATTTTTCTACTCCTTTGTTTTATCTTAGCTTGAAGTACTTGGTGAGTTTTTAGTGCTTTAGCATACTTGCATAAGTGTGAGTGATTGCCATGACTAGCATGCTTGCCATGAGGCTAAGTGCTTACTTGATAAACTGTTTAAGTACCTGTGGATTAAGGCTTGTTGCTTGAATTGGAACGATTCAATGAATGCACGTTTAAGCCCACTTTGTCAAGTGGCAAAATCAACCTTTTTTAAAAAAAAGAAACATGAAATTGAATTGTTCCAATTTGGGTAAACTAGTTTATACCTTGTATGCGCACATCACATAGTAAATGACAGCATAATAAATCGGAACAAGAGAATATAATGTTGATAAAAATCATATCATGATTAATAGAGGCTGGTCTTTGATCGAGCGAGCGGGGGTGCTCAAATGTATTCATGACCTTCCCTTCTCCTACCTAAGTTCCCGAACCGAGGCAATCTTGGTGATGACGGACACATGGCCTTTGGCACGAGTCATGGGTTTCCTAAATTTTTCAAAAATTTTTAGGTAGCGACTCTATATCTGGCAAAGCGGTTGAATTTAGGCATTTTCTTTATTCAAAATCATTTTTTCAAAAGATTGGCTGGATTTGGACTCTTTCGTGTTTATCAATTTCATATTGCACTTGTGAGATTAGATTTAGAACCGCAGGAGTCCGAACTGTAGGGCTTCTTTCAAACTTCCGAAAGGGGGGGCGAAAAAGTCGAGCTATAGTTTCTGGGGACTCCGTTGGGGATTTAGAGAACTTGACTCGAACTCATGATATGAAATTTTATCTACACTTATATGTTTCTTTGCATTGCATTTGCATTGGTGTGCTTAAGTCACTGTGTTTGCCATCTGTTATTCCTGGACGGTTTGCCGGAGGCTTGCTTGAAAAAAACTTGCCAAAAGGCTGACCGGTCACGGGCTCTGCCATGATAGGAACACAACCCTTGGATCTTGATTACCGTTGTACCATTTGATCTGCCTTTCACTTTTTGGTGTTAGGTGTGAGAGGTATATTAGGTAGTCTTGCTGAGGTACCCTTTTTGACCATTTGGCCTAGTTGCATATTGAAAGCCATAGAGATTGATCCAAACTAGGACAGGATGCTTACTCGTATGCAGGATTGTGTGAAACCACATTGTTTGAATAGTAAACCCTAGTTCCTGACGAAACTAGGATAGGGTAACCCTACCCCCTCATAGGGGTGTTTTGGTTCTCATTTAATTGGTATGTGCTTTTAGAGTGAAATTCTACAGGAATGTGCATAGCGGTTGCAAGCTGGGTATTAGTTTTGGGGGGCAGAATTCAGAGTTGAGTGCAATCCTACAGCTTTGATTACATCTGTGTGTTGTTCACATCTGAGCTGAGGTGTTATGCGGTTTTTGATTTTTGCTTTCCTTTTGCTTTATTTCTTTTTGCTAGGTAGTTTATCACAATTGCTTCGGATAATTCAGATACTCCCTAAGCACTCTAGACCCATGTAAGGAGACTTTATAGATTTGGGGATCTTGTTAGGGGACAACTTGTGTTTGCTTCACTCCTACCGGTTGCTAGATGGAGGAGAGTTAGGCACAATTCACCAGTTCAGCAATCACCTGCATCTAGTCAGGCTCAATCTTCCACATCTAGGCCAACAAGAGATAACTTGCCTATTCAAATGAATCAGTACCCTGCAACCAGTATGGAGGACTTGATTCATCATCTCCAGCAAACAGTGGAAACCACGTAGCAAGATGTTGCCCGCCAAGCTGAAGTTATAGCCCATCAAGCCAAAGTAATAAACAGGCTGCAGCAACAGCAACCACAGCCGGCAGCGGCTTCTGTTTCCCACGCACCTCCTGTGGATATCCCAGCACCCGGAATCACTGTCAATGTCCAAGAGAATCTGGGCAATCCAGTAGACCCTATCCCACCGCAAGCCTCTAAGGCACTAGTGTACCAAACTGAGCCTCCGTTTGAATTCGAAATTGATTCGACTGTACTTAAGGTCAACAAGTTGGAGAAGCTTTTCAAGCGGGCACATGGTGTGAACTCTATTCACAACATCAAAGATGGATATACTGACTCTGCAGTAACCTTGCTAGACTGGCCTAAAATGCCACACATAGATTGGTTTGATGGCTGTGGAGATCCCATGGTTCATTTACGATTGTTCTCAGACATCCTACGGCCGATAGGAGCCTTACCAGACTTCAAAAGCTGTCACTTTTCGACCGGACCCAGTCGGGTATAGCAGCTATTTGGT